ATGTTGGCCACGCCCCCTGGCCGTGTTAGCCACGCCCCTGAGTCCTTAGTCCCGCCCCAGCTGTCACAGGAAGTCCCGCCCCAGGTCAAGATGGACACGTGACCCAGAGTAAAGAGTGTCCTGTGACCCCCTCTGCCCCAAGAGCTCCCACGGGAGTTCTCTGCTCGGTGTCCCCATTTGGTTCCCTTGTTTCGAACCCGTGACCCGCACTCCTTGAGCCTCCCGGAAGAGGCTTTTCCAAAATTTGGCCCATCTACACTGGGCCAAATTTTGGAAAAAAACCCCCTCTTTTGGAAGAGCCCTTCTTCCTCATGGCATGAGGAAGACAGGGCTTCTGAAAGAGCACGTAAGCTCTTCCTCAAAAAAAAAAAATAAAAAAAACCGGAAGAGCAGACGCATTCCCTGGACGTGGCAGACTTTTTCTGAGATATCTCCAATCTCCCAGAAGAACCCCATAGTCTAGACACAGCCTGTTTAAAGAACTTGTTTGTTCTCCCAGTCAGCCGGAACATCCATCAGGGACATATTCATGATAGCTGCTCCATTTTTGAGCTGTTATGCCCATCTGGATGCAATTAATTCTAATCATTTACTTGATAGAGCCTCCTAGCTGGAAGAGGATGTTGAAATGGTCTGAGATCCCCTTTGTTACTCTAACACACTATCTTAGAAGTTAATCACATTTATCATCCTTGCAATTGATACAGGTACTAGTAGTCAGTTACGTGTACACAAGTTCTACACAATGCCTTCTTGGTGATTCTAGGATCACAAGGCACTCAAATAATCTAGCTTCTTGGGAAGCAGTCACAAAAGAGTTAAAGAGCATGTTTAAAAAAGCCAGACTTATTTCAGTTGAGACAAAAAACAGTACATCACTAAATCCAACAACTAAGCTATCTGTATACTCTGGTGGTCATCTCTGCAGCATTTCACCTGATGTCAGAAATCAGAAGTCCCGTGTAGAACCCATCACACAAAGTTAACATGCAAGTTGCCAGATCTGTAGTTGTTTTTGCCTATGTTGAAGATCAGATGCATTTGGAAAAGCTCGCAATTCAAATCCCCTTCTGCAATAATGAATCAGTTTCATTTGCCTGAGTTTGAAATATCCATTAACATTGCAGAGTGTAAATGAATATTAAGGCATAAACTACTGATATACATCAGTACATGGCTGTGTGCTCCTGATGTTCCCAGAACTATTGCATACAATTCACAAAAAATACCTTCTTCAGTTGCTAGCAATGAAGCAGTGATACGTTTTATAAAGTCATACTAAATGGCTATGCTAGCCACTATTTTCTTTGTCATAGTTCAAAGGGTATGTCTACACTACCACCCTAGTTCGAACTAGGGTGGTTAATGTAGGCAACAGGAGTTGCAAATGAAGCCCGGGATTTGAATTTCCCGGGCTTCATTTGCATATGGCCAGGCGCCGCCATTTTTAAATGTCCGCTAGTTCGGACTCCGTGCCCGCAGCTACATGCGGCTCGAACTAGGTAATTCGGATTAGGCTTCCTATTCCGAACTACCGGTACACCTCGTACACCTAGTTCGAACTAGGGTGGTAGGGTAGACATATCCCCAGCAACTGCATCTGTATTTCTTCTCTTCTCCCACCCCTTCTCCTGGCTCCTCAGTTAACTTTCTTGGGTGGAGACTCATGTCTTTCTCCTTCCTGACTGTGGGTTCTTCCGGGCTTCAGAGTTCTCTGCCTACAGCATGATATCTCCAGCAAGATAGATGTCCTAAACAGGCCAGCATCTCTGCTTGCTTACTCTTTGAAGGCTGTTAAAAGTTGTAATTGCCAGCAGTTACAAATTACCATACAGCTATTTATAAACAAGCACATTTATTATTAAAGTGAAATTATTATAGAGAAAATATTGAAAACAGTAAAAGAACCTACACATGCTAAACAGTCTCAGAGGGGTAGCCAGGTTAGTCTGTAACTAAAACGTCTTTAAAAACAACAATGGTCCTGTAGCACCTTAGAGACTAACCAAAAAATATGCTAAACAGTTTGCCAGAGATAACGCAAACCTTCAAAATCCACGACTAGGTCAGCCCTTTGGCAACAAGTTCCTCACTGTTCAGGACTAGAACTACCATGAATAGTTTAGCCTTTCCTGCGTATAATTTGGGGTTTTCATCTTAGCTGCCAGGAATATGTAATCGGCAGACAACGATCCTCTCATCAGGACTGAATTATAAAGCAGGACTCTCTGGTCCAGCAACATCTGTGATCCAGCAGACCCACAGATGTTCCTGCAGCAGAGCCATAGGGCTGGGAGGCTGGCAGTGGGGCTGAGGGGTCAGTGGTGGGGCCAGTAGCCCGGCGGCAAGGTGTGGGAGAGCTGTCTGCACAGCCAGGAACCCAGTGGTAGGGGGCTCAGGTGGCATGGGCAGCCCAGTGGCACAATCAGAAGCCCTATAGCAGTGAAACTCCAGCAGCGCAGGGAGCCCCATGGCACAGCCGGGAGCCCCACGATGCGGCCAGAAGCCCTGAAGCAGGAAGGTGTGGGCAGGACTGGCAGCACAGCTGGCTGGCTGCAAGGAGGATGACAGGGACCAGAAGTGGAGCCAGTAGTGAACTGGGAGGCCAGTGGCAGGGGATCTCCCCAGATCCGACAAATTTCTTTGTTTGTGATGGGTCGGGTCCCAAGGTTGCTAGACCAGGGAGGGCGAACCCATAATGAATTTGTTGTTCATTAGAAGCAGCAGATGGCAGTAGTGTGCTATCTGAGAACTAATCAACTCCTTAGATTCTCAGAAAAGTTATAAAAGACCTAAAACAGTATCTCTCTCAATTCTGGTATCTCCTGTATAGTTATTGAGTTATAATAGTAGTCAGTATGATAAATCTCTTAACTGAAATCCCTCAGCAACAGAAAATTAGGCATAGTTGTGAACCATTCTTTTGTGCATTCTTCACAATATAATATAGATTGAACCTTCCAAATCTGGGACTCTGGTCCAGCAATATCTGTGGTCCAGAAAGGCCATGGATGTTGCTGGACTAAAGAGACCTGGGAGTGGGAGCCAGCCAGGAGAATGTGGCGTCTGCAGAGTCACGGCTGATCCAGCAGTGACTAGGGAGGGGAACCTGGCATCAATGGGGCCAGGCAGTGTTGAGAAGGCTCCGCCCCCTGCTGGAGAACCACGGATGTCAGTGGGGTTAGGCAGCAAGAGTGGCCCTGGCAGTGTGACAAGCGACATCCGGGTGGCCTCAGCTGGGGAACCCCGGGAACCCCTGGAAAGTAGTGGGGCCACACAGCAGCCTGGGATCCCCAGCCAGGGAACCACAGGTGGCAGATGGTGAATTCTGGTCCCAGCAGGGACTCCCCAGTGGCAGTGAGGCCAACCAGCCCTGGTCACGAAAGCCTAGGATACTCTGGGTAGCAGGGGGGCCAGGCCACAGTAGTGGGACCAGCAGCAACCAGGGGCCCGGGGCCAGGGCCAGGGAACCCCGAGGAACCCAAGGAGGTAGCAAAAAAAGCAACAGCTGAACGGGGCTGGCAGTGGCCAGGTGGCCCTAGCTGGGGAATCCCAGACAGGCCATGGGTTAGTGGGGCAGTATCAGGGCGGGAGCCCCAGCCTT